AAATTATTAATATTTTAAGAAAAAAAAACTAATTTTAATTTTTAAGAATTATTTACGTTGTGTTAGAAATTTGAAATCATCTTTTATTGTTCTTGGCGCTCTAGTGATGTAACCAAGAAGAATTTTTAGATCTTTTTAATTTTTACAAATGTAAAGAAATATAAGAACTCTTTTATAATTTGTACTTTTTATTATGTTTTTACTAATTTGCATGTTAATGTGTTTTATGATTATGTTTTTTATTTGATGTTAAAATATTTTTACATTATCTTATATATTTAATAATGTTAAAAACCGATCAATCCGACCGAACCACACCGATCCGATTCAACTTGGATTGGTTTGGTTATCATATAATAATAGATTGAATTGGTTTAAAAATTTTATTAACTGATTAAATTGAATTGGTTTAAAAAATATTAAAATCCGAATTAAACCACACCGCGAACACCTCTAATTAGTACTTCCTGTGCAAATTGTTTCTTCCTTTAAAAAAAATGAAAATATTTTTGAGAATTGTTAATATATTTATTTATATTAATTTTTTTAAAAAATGATAAAATTAAAAAATTAAAATAGAATAATTAATTAAAATAAATAAATAATAAGTTAAATTTAAAATATTTATTTTTTAAAAATAAAAAATTAATTTAAGACAAATTTAAAATAAAAAATTGATACTTATTTTAAGATAGAAGAAATACTAATTAAGGTGTAGTTATGATTACTAATTATTTAGTTAAACTACTAATTTTGATTGTAATTTTATCCATTTATACTTTTTTTAAAATAATTGATTATAGTATTTGAGAATATTTATTTATAAATTAATTTTAAATGTTAAATAATAAATTTTAATTATTAAAAATAGATCTATTCATATATAAATTTTATACATCACATTTATATAAAATTTTAATAATTCATTTTTTTTACTTTTTTTAATTGAAATTTATCACTTTTTTAAATAAAAAATAATTATTTTTAATAAATATAAATAAATCTTAATTACTAAATATAAAAGATAAATACTTAACATTTTATATAAATATAATATATAAAAATTACATATAATTAAATACCTACTCTTAATTATTTTACCGATTATAAGCTATTTTTATCAACTAAAAATTTGATAAATTTAATTGTCTTAACGGTAGCCTAGTGCCACTAATAATATACTAGCGGGTTGTGTCAGGTCAAGGTGGGTTTTGGTCGTAGTGGATAATCATACATTCACTCCCCAACGTGCACCGACCGACGACATTTGTAGTGCTGGGCCCCACGAACAAGCACCACGACGCTTTTGTCGTCGTCGTCGTCCATCTTTCACGTGTAGCATCAATCAATCACCCTCTCCCCCAACCACAGCAGCGGGGACGGCTCCTGAAGTGGAGCTTTCCTTAACTGCGCCTCCATAACCATTGACTATAATAATAATATATAAACGTCTCTCTAACAGTTCCATTTGTTTTTTTTCAAAGGAATTTGTCGAGTGCAATAAATTGGTCTGAAGTGTTAAATTATTTAATTATATTTTTACTCAAAAACAGTACAAACTTGAT